CTGGCTACAGGCCTCTCCATGCTCATCTTCTCCTTTGTCAAAATCTGAATATTAAAATATGGTCTCCTCTTTTTCCCAACACCCCCTCCTTTCCCTCTGTGAGCTGCCTGCTTCAGCACCCACCACAGGTTTGGAGAGGCTGAGGTTGCAAGGCAGATGGGGGGCTGACTGGGTAGTGGGAGTGGGGAGAGCCAGAGCAGCACACGTCTTCCTTCCAGTACTTAAAGGGTGCTTGTAAGAAAGATGGGGACAGACTTTGTAGCAGGGCCGGCTGTGATAGGTTTTACACTAAAAGGGGGCAGATTTAGACTAGATAGAAGGAAGAAATTTTTCACCATGAGGGTGGTGAAACCCTGGCACAGGTTGCCCAGAGAGATGGTAGATGCCCCATCCCTGGAAACGTTCTAGGTTGGGTTGGACGGGGCTCTGAGCAACCTGATCTAGTTGAAGATGTCCCTGCCGATTGCAAGGGGGTTGGACTAGATGGCCTTTAAAGGTCCCTTCCAACCCAAAGATTCTATGATTCTATGTTTCATAGCAGGTGGCCTGGTGCAATAGGGAGGACAAATAACTCATTGTTGGGGATCTCCTCTTCCTATTCCCTCCCAGCAAAAGAATAAGCACCAAGCAGAGGACACTGGCCAAGCATGAATTACCTATGAGAATAAAGAATTTATTTTGGTTATGGCTTACTGGGAGGGCCCACCGTGCCCCTTTTATCTTCATCTCTTCCTAGTTTCTAAGAGGTTGCTGGGTTTGCTTTCAGACTGTAGCCATGCTGAATGAGGAAAAGACGAAAGAGGCAGTGGGAAGAGGAGACAGGTCTCAGCAAGTGCCCTCAGCTCTGCTCTGAGCCTCCAGCCTGACGCTTAAGTTGGGAGAGCAAAATAGAAATAAGCAAAGAGCTGGCTCAGTAAGAGGTAACGGCTAAGGAATTGGCAACTGACATCTTGAGCTTTTTCTGTTACGTTTTCCATTTTTGCCTTTTCCTCTTCTTTTGCAAATGGGAAGCAGACAAGAAGTGCAGGGAAGAATGAGCACCGAGGGGAGCCGGCATTGACCCAGGGCAGGGGAGAAAGCGTCCTCAGCCCAGCCCTCACTGGGGCATGTCTGGCAGCCGCGCGCAGCCCCAGGAAGGGCTGCAGGGCAGATGTGCCCTGTGGCCCGGTACACCGAGCTAAACCACCCAGTGCATTCCCACTGCCAGCGCGAGTGTGCTTCGGGGATACGCCAAGAGCATGAGAGCAAAAGCAAGAGCCCCTCCCCAGGTGCCAGCACAGCTCCATGAGGGTACCGGCGCCCGCCTCGTTCCCTGCTCTCCCCCACCAAATGCCCATTTCTCCCCATTGCTCACAGCGCTCTTTACTGGTCTTCCCACGGGAAAGGTGTTGTGAGCACTCCACATATCCTTTCTCCTTCACTCATTTTTTCCTTCCTACCCTTCAGAGATGCAACATTTATTTGGCCTGAGCTCGTGGGCAGAGCTTGGATGGGTTTATATGCTCCATGCCTGAACCCACAGGCAATTACAAACATGGCTGGCTGCCTGGCTTTGTTAATTAGCTACCAACAATGCATCACTTTTCCCTCTGTGGTTTCCTCCTGAATTAGTAGGGCATTGCTCATTAGTTCTCTTCCACTTTGGGATGCCACAGTTGAACATTACGGCATCCAGAAATGCCAGGTAGTTGAGAGTACGAGCTTGATTTGTTTGGACAATAAAAAAATATTAGTTACATTTAAGTAATTGAACAAAATAACAGCAAGCCTATTTTGTACTTTTGTACTTGCACATTTTGTACTAGTGCAATCTGCCTGCCCCGTACCAGTGCTCAAGCTTCTCGTTTCCTGATTTGTTGTCGACAAACATTAGAGCAAGTGTCCACAATAGTTTCTTGGGTTTGCTGTGAAACAGTACATTTCTCTCCCTGTGAATTTGGTTCAGTAAAGTGGGTATCAGTTGATGGGACATCACCCTGGACACCGAAACGTGCAGCAAGTCAGCAGGTGCCACTGGAAAGCGTCCTTGTCCCCCTTGTACCTCCAAGTGGCTGTTTAGCACCACAGCCTTGCTACATGATTTAGACTTTTAGGATTAAAAGGTCTTTTGTGTCTTTAGGCCTAGAGACCCAGATGTCTGTGCAGATTTAAACCTTTCCTGAAGTTATAACTTGAGATGAAGCGGACAGCAAATTGTAGAGTACAGTCATAGCCAGGATTTCTAATTTGAGCAAGAGTCTCCATTTTCCCAGGTAATCTGTGAAATGAAAGGATTTCCTCTGCAGGTGTGAAGAAGGTGTGGGAACGTCCAGCTGATCTTGCAGTCCACAAAGTGCTGTCACAGGGGACAGCTAGGGACGGCCTCGACTTGTCCCCCAGCTCTTTCAGTACGGGATGGTCATTCCCGTCCCTGCAGCCAGCGGAGCGAAACGGGCACACGGAAAAGCTGCCGCTGTCTGGTGTCTGAGTGTGGCCCTGGCAGGGGTATGGGTCTCCTCTTGGCTTTAAGGGCAACAACTACCTGAATTCGGGCGGGATGACTCCCTCCTCTTGCTTGCCCCTTTCCTGATGGAGAATCATCTGCAGAAAGATCTGCTATGGCAGACTCAGTAAGTTTTAGTGCTTTGTTACCGCCTCATAACCCACAAGTGACTTTTGGGAAAAGGGGCAACGGATGAAATGGCAAAAATCCCTTTGGTCAAGCTGTCGTGCTTGGCTGATGCCCTCAGAACGCCCATGTGCCAGGTCAGCAGGCAGAAAGGGAGGAAAGGTGCACTTTTACCAAAGACTAGAGGGTAATAGGGGTCTTCTCGTGATCTGCTACTTTGGTATTGAACCCACTTCGTGCTACTTCCATGTTTTCCTCAAAAACAGTCACCATTTACCATGGTGACACCCTTTACCAAGGTCACAGGCAGATCTGATCTGATCTACACCCTGGAGTTTGGGCTCAGTTCAACCAGGAATAGCACTTCCAGCAACTCAAAGTTTATTTAAGTACTTAGCACTAAATAACAGCAGTAGCAACCAGGGTGGTAAAATAATGTTTTATTCCATGAATGAACAAACACTACCATGCCACATCCTAAAGTTCTTTCTACAAAAGATTGTGGACAGAGCAGATTTTTACATTTCTCGGGACAAGTTCATTTCAGGCTTTTGCACCCATCCAGTGTAGCAAAATCTGGACACGCAGCATTCTTATCGTCTATTTGGCATTTTGCCAGATAAAGCAGATTTATACCGTAGTTCTTGTTCACACAATGTTGATGCACTGTAAATTAAAGAAGATAATCAAAAGCAAACTAGGTCATTTCTGTGGTTTATCAATATATTTTTCATGATGGTCAAAGTACAACCAACATTCAAAGCTTAAAATAATGGTAATAAAAAAGACACACTAAAGAACACAATGGAAACATCATCGTTGCTGTCAGGATGTGAGTTTACCCACAGTACTATGTAAAAAGTAGAAACCAGCATTGACATTCAAGCTGTCAAAACAAGAAAAGAAAATACATTAATTGTTATATTTCCAAGCTAGTACTTCTAAAGAGTCCTGACCAGCAAAGAAGTGTTATCGCATGCATGCTGAACACAAGACTAATATTGAATCGGGGACCTGACGAATAACTGACTTACATTCCTTTATATACAACGAAATGAAATATACAGTATTAATGCTGGCTGTACATTTGGTCAGAATATTTTACAAGGAGCGACACTCGTCAAAATTCTTATGAGGCAGAAAGTGGAAGTGAATGAATGTCGGACGTCTTTCTGAGAGTTGAATGCTTTCACAAGAAGTTTTAAAAGTTGCTTTGCACTGCTATAATGAAGTGTTAGATATTTTAAAGTAAAAATGCTCCCCTTTTTTTCCTTTTATGCTAGAGTGAGCAGAAGAGTTAATTAAACGTGTTTGGAATGTGCTAATGTGCTAATCATTGACCTGGAATAAAACTAAGCCGCAGACAGCATGTGCAATAAACCTCTGCACGTTGGTTCTGTTTAAATAGCTTATGAGATGATCTGCAAAGTATCTGGTACAAATTCCTGCTACCATAGCCTCATCTAGCCTTTCCCAACAGGCTGCCAACCAATTGTTCCACTACTAAAAGAAGAAAAATAATTGTGATGGTTGCGTATTTTTCTATAGTACAATAAAAATATCTCAGTGTTAAGCTGATTTAACTTATTTATGTGCATATTTTTCAAGGCTGCCAAAGAAAATACTCAATCTTGCACGCAAAGGCTGTGCTGGGAACATGAGAGTGAGATTTCCTTTGCTTTATTCTAATAGAGTTTTTAATGTTTGGATACCTCGACCCCCATTGCCTCTTTAGGTCTCCATGGTCTAAAGTGAGTTGGTTAATTCAGCGTATTTTTTTTTCCTCATCCAGAACAAGCTGAGAAGCTAATAAGGTAAGCATGAGACCCAATGAAAACAAAAGTAAAAGCTATGCAAAATTAAGAAATAATTACAGGATGGTAAAGAATGGTAGAACTATAGCAATATTTTGTACAATTGAATTTGTCTTTCCTGTAGCAATGAGAAACCTTATGAACATGGGAAAGAGCAGACAAGTATGTACGAATCAGTAGCCTTTAAAATAATTGTGCTATAATCTTTTCCATGTATTAGGTTAGATTTTTTCTGACACGGTGTGATGCAAACTATAGTAACCTTAATATGGATGATGGATTTCCCTGCTACTGCTTGATTGCTTGAATGCAAAGAGACATCAAATTTTCCAGTCCTCAAGGCGGTTTCTCAGGGTGATCCTTCAAGTTCAGCATCTTGCCACTTTCACACTAGAACTCACATTGTGGCAAATAAAAAAGAAAGAAAAAAAAAGGGAGAAAAAGGGAAGAAAAATAAGGTGTTGGTTGTGACAGATTAATTTCAGACAGCAGTTTCTGCTGAGTTCACCATGCTTAATGTTCTTCCATTTAGGAAGGAGTTGCTGTCAAGTAAAGCAGATGAGCTGCTTTCAGTTTTCTTTAAACACATGCTAACAACGTAACATCTCTTTCTTCAGGAAAATGATCCAGTTGCATATTGTTAGAGAGATCTGCCTTGTGCTTAGCACGGACAAGTAGGGTTAATCGTCATCCTCCTCCTCTTTCAGTGGGGCTATCGGGAGTTTGTCCTGAACCTGGAAACACGCTACAAAGAAGTTGACGATGGAGTTGTACAAATGCTGCTCCAATGCCACATTGCTAAAGTAATGGCTTTCATCAGGGTAAATCTGCAAAGAAACGAGGAGATACACACCATTAGGACCTTAAAGTCTCTGACCACCCGTATCTACAACTTGAGCTGGCCTCCAAACCCACTGCTCCTCCTTGGCACTGCACGTCTTCCCATGGATGCGCATGAAGCGCAGGGCAATTCAGGCCCCACAGCACTGTGTGCAGACCTGCATCTTCCTTCAAAAGGAACTTTATGGGGGAAGGGTTTTCCATTTACTTCCATTCTGAACAAGTTCAGGCTAAGCAGAACCAGACCACACTTAAAAATAACAGCGCTTGCTCCTTGTGAAAACTGAAAAAAACCCACTGCAAATCTGTGGAGAGAAATGGCATTAGGTTTTACTGACTAAAATGTGGGCTTTAAAGACAAAATGTCATTAAGTTAAAAAATTGAAATAAAGCTTGCTGGAGAAGTAATTAAATAGAAAAAACATGGGAAGCTAGAAATTAAATAGTTTAAGCACAACTTTCCATTTAAATGGAACAGGTAACTTCTGCACATGCAGTAATGGGTTGTCTAGACTGGGATACTGAAGGGGGAAAAAATGAGTTTCTAGGGCTGGATGCTCGCAGGCAGGACTGAGGTGTCTCTGCTACTCTGAGTACCTTGATCCAAAATGTAGATCCTTCAGCCCTTCATTCAGTCCTCAACTAACCTTTGATGAGCATCAAGCCCCTTGGTGCCTTCAAGCTCCAACGTACTAATGCTTCTGCATTGGGAAATGTACGGGGCACCTCAGTCACGGTAGCACTGACCGAATCCATGCCGGGCTCGCAGCTTAGCTCCCGTGTCTGTGCTCCCTGTCTGCCTTTGGAGCATGATGGAGTGAGCATACCCAACACATGAGGCTCTGCAGAAATGCAGCCAGAGGGAGCTGGTATTCAGTAAATCAAGCATTAGTAGGACTTGGGCCCTGCAACACAACCATCTATACTGTGAGCTGTAGCATGGTCCCTGGCAGGGGCTGAGCCTGGGCTAGTTGCATTCCCCTGGCTGTGGCCTGGGATGTAGCAGAGGGTAGGGACCATCCCCATGGCTGGTGGATGGGTTCATTTTGGAAGCTTTAATGGCTTGGACATGGGCCATTCAGCAAATCAGAGACGTAATTCAGTGGAAAGAGGGGCTTTCTAGACCAGACGACGTCGTTCACAGCGGGATGTCAGATTTAAGTGACATTTCTCTCCTTAACTTTTCTGGTTGATTTAATTTAGATCTCTGTTTCCTTGTAATTCATCCTGAATTTGGCCTGTTGTTCCCAAAGAAAGCAAACAGGCATCAATTCCTTAGAGATATGTCTCTTGAAACCTGATTTACTCTAATTTAATAACTGTTCTACAACTGTCCAAACCAAAATAGTGGTATCAAATAAGCACAGGAGTACATAGGAACACATTATATGCTGGTGTTATTTCTTCTGTCAGGCTGTGTTTGCAAGTGGCTTTTCAAAGCTTGCTTCAAAACAGCAGTCTGAGTTCAAACTGTGAAATAACTGTTCAAATATGAAAAAAGGAAGCATATACTGTACCTGCAAGCTGTAATTAGCCTTTGCCCTAATTAGGTGTGTGATAAGGTCCGCAGTATGCTGAAAATGGATTTTTTCTGTAAAAACAGATTACAATCATTAAAGAGGCAAATTTAATTAAGAAAAATCAAAGCCATCCCAAACATATAATGAGCTCAAATGATGGGCTAACTCACCATCAGCGGTAGCATGAATGATCAAAAATGTCTGTTCCTTCAGTAATGAGACTCTGTGTGCTAATTTGGTGATCTGTGAAGGTAAAGGTTGCAGTAAGATTAAAAATCTTGCTACAAATTAGCAATTTATATGGAGAAAATAGAAGCACTTAATTCCATTTGATACTTCATCACAGGTTAACAAGCAGACACCAGCACAGCATATTCTCTTGGCTACTTGAATCAGTCTGGAGGTAAAATAGACCCCCACTCTGTCCTTCCAGACTCGCTATCAGGAGCAGGAAGAGGTCAGAGACCCTCGCCTGTTCTGATAATGTTCATCAAAAGCCTGAACTGCAGAAGACATGGAAAATGTCAAAGTGAATTTCCAGTGAATACAGAACACTGATGAAAAGCGTGCCCAGGTGCCTATGCCTAAGAACTCTTTGGAGAGCTGGAGTGACTTTGGTATGGTCTGAAAGCCAACCTCAACGAGCTTCGGTAGCCCGGGGAAGGTTCTGATACTAAATTCAAGTGTCCGCTGCTGAGAATGCCTTTGCCCCCAACTGTTTTTCAGATGCACAGGGGAAATACAAATCTGAGTGACTGCAAGTCATACTGGGTAAGAGAAATGAAGGACTTCTCCACTTTTTGCTGCATTGCTCAGAAGAATACAAGTCTCAAGAAGACTCCAAAAGACTTCAAAAAGTCTTGGAGTGGCAAAAGGAATGTATGTCTGAAATCACAGATGTTACTGCTTTATAGAGGGGCAGGAAAGAATAGCTGTCTGAACTTAAATTCATGTTTCTTTCACTGTTTAAATGCATGTGCCCTAGCTCTCATTCACTAACATCAGTTAATGCATTTTTCAGTTCAAACACCCTTGTTTCAATCCTGTCTTTCACCTCTTTTCACCTTCCCACTACCCAGTGTTTGGTGGATGCAGCCCTGTTCTGGCTTTCTTGCAGCACCACACACTGTATGGACTTTTAGAAAATGTTTGCAAATTTTGCAAGGGTGCCTCTGATCTTCGCTCTATTGTTGGACTTAACTAACGAGCTCTCTCATCATCAGATTGCCGGCTATGATGCTTAAGTCTTGTGATGGTGTATGCACATATTTTGCACGTTCTCCCCCTATATGGCTCCTTCCTTTCTGCTCCCTCAGGTTACAGTCTTGAATTATGGGACCTTCATAAAGTTCATGTCTGGTCCATGGATTAGGAACAGTTCTTCTCCCTAACCAGTTCATGGTTCAACTGTGGTGTTTAGGAGATGTGTACCAGTTAGGGTCCGTACCCAGAATGGTGCCACGCTCTACAGAGACCCCAGGTGCTGTTCCTAGCAGTTAGTCCCAAGTCAACCAAAAGTACCACTATTTGGTTAGGCCAGTTTTTCAATGCACAAAGAGCGTGTGGCAATACAAACCTCTCACTTCTGGAATGTTTTCCCTTGCTTTCACCTCTACTGACCTGCCTTCAAATTTCTAAAAGGACTAAAAAAGTTTGCAATGAGCTAGAGATCAGGAGTGCAAAATCTGAGAGACAATGAACTCAGTATTTAGACAGGCAGGAAAAGGTTCCATTGCAGGGGCACAAGGTGCTACCTGCCTTCTCTGTAAGAAAACAGTTCCAAACCTTTGCTTCCTTCATGTCTTCTAGCTGAAGACAAGGCTTAGTAGGCTTAACAATGTTTTCTGTATAAGAAATTTTGTTTGTGTGACTATTCTTTATTAGGTTTTTCCTCCAAGCAATTGAAGGAAAGAAGACATGAATCAACTGATCCCATCATCCATATTGCACAATATCTTCATTAACTGGTGCCGTGTCTCCTTTTCCATGCCCTGCTCAGTGCTGACACAGAGCTCTGCCTACCTGAAATATCACATCTGTGCTTACATCGAAAAAGCCAAGAGAAGCTGAGTTTCACTTGACTTTGGGTCAAAAATTATACCTCAGAGAGAATCAATGTGGCAAGACCATTGAGATGAACTTTAAAGGAGGTCATGACATTGTGTCCACTTGGACATATCTGAGTCACTCAGCCTCAGCAATTTCAATCTGTCAAACTGGACTAACTGTATTTACCCAATTTAGAGAGGCAGACATGAAGGCTAATCAATAAAAAACATATTCATCATTACTATTAAGACAACAAAAGCAGTAAGCAGGCTGAAGAACACCTTGCTGCCTTTTAAATATAGAGTTTTACTAGTGAGTCCAACTTGCATATCCTTTTTCCATCCCCAAAAGAGAACACACTGAGGAAGAGTTAAAACCCTGTTCACATTTTATCAGGGAAATGCAGTGTCCATGCAGTTACCTCGTATGCTCTGTTGTCAATCCCATGCAAGCCCAAGTATCTTTCAGAAAAGGCTGAAGCTTGAACAAAAAAAAAGAAAACATCTTTGTCAGTCATAAATGAGTACACTTGTGCCGGACAAATATTGCAAATACTAAAAAGTATCTTCTTTTCTAACATTGCCTTAGTTACATAGGAAATATTCCTAAAAGTTTTTGAAAATGCACTAAGAACATGTATGATACTACAGTCTTTCATTATCACCATGTACTTACGGTTTCTAAATAAGTCACAGAAGAGCCTTTTTGTTTTTCATTAATGCAACCAGGATATGAGAGAAGAGCACTATTGTGTTGTGTCCCTTCCTCCTTTCACATGGGGCTGTCTCCATCAACAGTTGACTGCAAGCTCCCGTTGGTCTCAGGGGTAACTGTACAGGACCTGAAGGCTGGCTTAACACCACTGACTTTCATGGAAGTTCCCTGATTTTCACTGGCACTAAGTGCAGAGGGAACGGGTGTCCCTGAGAGAAAGGACCACCATGTCCAGTGGAGTATTGCCATCAGAGAGATGATGAGGTGGGCAGGCTGGACCACAACTCCCAAGGATGGATGGATCAGGCAAGAAAGAAGCACATTCAAGGCAGTGGTGCAGGTTGGTATCAGAGGCTGGAGGGTTTTAGAGCTAATTCTTCTTTATTTGGAAGGAATGAGTAATAAAAGTTACTTTAGCACTCTGACCACCATGGTTGATCCCATTGGTGCCAGCAAAACTGTTCCTGAGGGGGAAAAAAGGGTGTATAGCTAGTCCTAAGAAGACACACGATACAAAACAGGCAGGAGCTTGGGGAAGAAAGAGTAGGTAACTGTGAAAGGTTCGGGCAGAAATATCATTTGTGGTCAGCAAGAGGGCCTGTGGGCTCTGGGATGGGGTTTACCATATAGTTTGAAGTCCGTCAGCGGGGAGAGAGCAGCTCCACAGGCAAACACCTGGTTCTCTTCGCCGGCTGGAAGCATATAAGTGCTCAGGTAGCCACCGTAATCCTGGAACACAAACAGGGCAGGGCTGTCAGCCGTCCTGCCACGAGGCGCTGCTGCTTTTGGGTAGAGAAACAGGGCAGCTGAGACCTTGCAGTAAACTCGGCCAATTATAGACCCTTGCCCTGAAAAACATGAAAGAAGGGACATCTTCCTGGCTTTGGCAGATGCGGCTGAAGATAGGCTCTACACTCATTGCACTCTCCTGAAGACATGAGGGCTGTGTGCTTAAGAGCTTGCCTCCTTTCATCTCACATTATGGCTGTGGATCCGATCAGATATGTTAGCTCTCAAAAATATTACCCTGCTTTTTCGTTATTTAAAATGGACATCACCATTTCAGCTTCTGCCGTCAGCCTGTTAACAATTCCCTGCAGAGATGCTGCTGTATGTACAGCTCTTCTCGCCCACTCTAAGCCTGCATCTCCCACAATAAACAATTTCTACTCGCGGTCCCATTCTCATTTCAAACTGTGTGTACTTTGCGATTGCTGTTCCCAGCCGGGCTCACACTGTGGTGCGAATCAGCCTGAGAAATCGATATTGTTGTTGTACAATATGATACGTATGACACGAGCTAGATCTACCAATATTCCCATAGGCCTTAAGGGACAAGATGAAAATGAAATGAAAGTTTGCAAGGGTAAAAATAATTAATTTTTTCACAGTGTTTTTCTGACAATCGTCACTTTCTGCGCTTGGAAGTTAATTAAAAAAAAATTGACAAATACATTGATAAAATGAAAGCTTTCATCTTTAACAGTCTACCTCAAAAATAAATAATAATAAAACAGTCACCACTGACACATTCAATAAATCAGGATTTAGCTCAGCTGCTTAACCACAGCAACCAACTAGAACAGCACAGAGGAACTACGGGAAACTGTTACCTTCCCAAACACACCGACTCGCAGCTTATCAATGTAATGCTCCTTTAGCATTGTCCTAGAACATGAGAGAGGAGAAACAATGGGTTAAAAATATTTTTCCCTTAGATGTAGCAAACATAGTGTGACTTTTATCAGCCTGAATTGGGGGTGGCCGCAGAAAAATGATGTAGACAATCTCAATTCATGCTGGTACATGCTGCTTTCACATGAGTCTCTGTTTGGTTTAATCTTGCAACCCGTTGTGTTGGATTTGACCAAGCAATGGCAACAAATAACCTGCACTACCTCTGAAAGTCATAATAGACCTGATGCTATTGCACTACTCTGATGGTGTTTTTAGGTCGATTATGTGCAGAATAAATCTAACAATATGATAGGACTTGACATTTAGGGTTATGCACTGTTTTTTCTGTTTTAAAAAGTTACAGCATTTAAAGATGGATTTTTTCCAACTACCAGGCCAGCAAAAAAATTAATGTAGGAGCTGATATTCAAGCTTACTTTTTTGTAGCTGTATGACTGTATAGAGCTAAAAATAAATCGGCTTTGAACACGTGATACAGATAAGTGTGCTCTAATTTAGCTCTGGTTAAGGCTTGTTTTCCTCCCTCTGCACTGGCTGGAATGAGCTCTCTCTCACATGGCATCACTTGGTCACAGCTGTATGACTACATCGTCCTTCCCTCCCATCTCCTTCCTCTACCCTACGCAAGCATTAAAGCAACCAGGACTAATGATAGTCTTGGGTTAATTTTCATTAATGAATTAATTTCTTCAATAACAGTGTCATTCACCGGACAGCTTCCAACTGATCCTTCTCTTCCAAAAGTCCCAGTCTTCTCTTAACCTCATGCAACAGCTTAGTGCCTTGGAAGCCACTCCCACGACCGTCGAACTTCAGCACGATGGCGTTGTGAGAGCTGACCATGACGCTTTCCCACGTCACCTCAAATCTCTCCGTTACGATCTGGCTGCCGGGCGTCCCGTCTCTGAAACAGAAACAGGCATCAAGCAAAGGCAACGGCACCAAGCACAGACCAAACGCCCTCCCCGGGGCCGTGAGCTTGCCATGGCAATGGGGATCGGCGGGTCCCATGTGCGTTGTAAGGGAGGGCAGATTTCAAGAAGGGAAGACCAGTCTCTGTAATGTTGATGCACAGAAGGCTGGTTGTGTGGGATGGGTTTTGAGGCTGGGGTGGAAGCTGCAGGCTGTTTTCTGCCTCCCTCCTTGCACAGCAACTATCGCTGTGCTAAGCTGAGCTTTGAACAAACCTAGCAAGCACATCACTAACTGGGCAGGACTCCTCCTGTGAGTAAACCAGAGCGGCGACACAGAGGTCAGTTGGCTTCTCCCCATTTATGCCTGCTCTAATCTATAGTTAGTATCTAGCAGGATTTTTCTGCTGGAGGGGTTTCTGTGAGGATCCTGGCTTTGGGGAGTGCTGGCACTGCCAAAATATGCTGGATGAAGCTTGCAGACATCAAACCCTCATTCTTTTACTGGTAAGTATTTGGGTTTCGTTCACTGCCCCCATTCACCCAGCCCAGACCTTCCCTCTCCCATGGGCTTCTCCGCAGCGGCTGTAGATGGAGCCGTCAGTCACTTCTGTCACCACTGCTTAACACAAGAACACTTAAAGCGATAAAACTAACAGCTTAAAAATGCCCAGGTTGGACCAAAATTGGTGGGTAAGGGACAGGGGTGGGCAAGACTCCCTCTTCACCCTTCTGCTTAAGGCCCAATCCTGCGCAGGGGAAACATCTCGAGAAATATTGACCCCACTTCAGCCAGACAGCTCAGAAAAATCAAGAGATGATGATGATGAGAAGTAGTATTTTAGGACTGGGATTACTGTAGAGCCATTGGCACTTCCATCTACTTCTTGTCCTTTTTGGGGTTCTCGGAGACATCAGGCAACTCACTGCAGGATATTCATGTGCGTGAGACTTCAGTCATTCGCATTTGCTCAGGCGAGACCCCGGCACATCCAGCTTCAGAGGCAGCCTAATCAAGTGCTGTTAGCTTGATGAGTACCAATCTTCCTCAAGCACTTGTATAATGAAGTACATTTTCTCTGCAGTAATTTTGTGATGTAACGACATGCTTATTGCAGTGTTTTTGCCCTTCATGCAGGGATGTGCAGGATGGTGTTCAGGCATTCGTCACCCCTGTGTGAGGCTCCTCTCTCATGGGGTGCTCCCTGCCAGGGAGCAAGTGATGCAGTGGGACGCAGCCAGGGCCAAGCAGATTCTTCCAAGGTCAGTGATTTCCCTCCCCCAGTTTCTTTCCAAATTGCCAGAAAAAACCCAGTAATGTTTTATGTATTATTATTACTAAATGTTGCATAAAGAAATACCCACCTGCTATGCCTGCCAGGAGGAAAACCTACCTACCTAATATAAATGCTAACCTTCTGGAGATATTCAAAGGTTTCTAGCTCTCCTTTCACTGCCACTTCGGGGAACGCTGGCATTTACACGGGAAGGACTGCTGCATGAGGGCATCTAAAATATAAGCTATAGTAAGGCTGACTGCATCCAATTCTAAAATTATCTGTTAAGCACAGGCTGAGTGCCCTAAGAACTGGGACAGAAAGTCAACATCCATCTTTAATTCCTCCCCTTCCTGTTTCTGCCCCAAAAAGTACTGAATTACAGGTGTATGTGGAACAACTTTACAAAATCCTACAATTTACTCTGCAGGATTTCACTAGGGCATGTCCTGGGAGCTGAAACCCTTGGCTCAAACATAGGACCTACGTCTAGCCTCTCCAAGCTCCAAGGTGAGACAGGGGGTAGGGACCAACATGCTGGACCTCATTGTACAAAACAGATCTTAAAAGGCTCTGATCATGGCTGAGGTTTCCACACTTCCCCAAAAATGTGAACAGAAAGAAAGGACGAGCGAGAACTTACACAACCAAAAGCAAGGGGTAGTGCGCGGTGTCCGAAAAGGTTGCTGGCTTTAAGATCTGCATTGGCAATTCTAGGCAAAAAAACCCAAATAACAACACGTCTTCAGTGTGGGAACACTAGATTTTCGGGTGTTTTGGTCACTTATGAGCAGGAACAAAATGGCATTTCAGAGGCACTGGTAAATAACACCTTAGAAACACAGATGTTGTCAAAGGCGAGACCCATATTATGATAGCCGAGGTGACAAGAAATGTAAATTGGGAGTACAGCAGAGCTGTTCAGTCATGCGTCACTTTTACAGCATTCAATTAACATCTGGCAAGAGCTATAATTTTCCTTTTTGGCAGCTGGATGAGTAATGCAGCCAGAAATCAATATTTCATGGCAGCAGAGGAGGGGGAAAATCGGCGATGAAAATGATAATTCAAAACCCAATTAAGTATGGTGGCTGCGGGACAGAATAGGATTATTTTGCTATAAAGGTGTGAAGACAGATAGAGAAACACATATTTTAATCCTAACTTCCAGAGGGCTTAATTTTGCTGTAAAACAGGAGGTGACTGTGCTGAAACCCACGTCGTTATACCGGTACTGAACCAACGTAAGTGAGGGACGTGCTCACCAAAACTTCATTTAACTGCTTCCTATGGCTTCATACCCATAGCCAAAACCACTGCCACACAAATGCTTTCAGCATTAACGAGAGCACATTTATTTTTAAAATGTTACCTACAATCCAGATTAGCAAAGGCCCAGCAATTAAATCGGTATTAGGAGCATTTTCAGTAGATTAATACCCAGATTAACCACGCAGTTTAAGTGGTTTGCTTTGCAATCATTGTCTGACACTCCACCTAATTAGTTATTCCATCTGAATGCTAATAGCTGCAAATTGGATCAATGGCCCAGAGACAGCCAGAAAGGCCATCACTTGACTTTAAATACAACTAAGCACCACGTGCAGTGTTCCCAAGGCTGTTATGCCCAAAGCCTTGAAAATACAGGGAGGGCAGAGCACAGCCACATGGCTGCGGCCAGCTTCTGTTTATTCCGCACAAACGCATATATTTTTGGTTAAACGCGCAGAATTACATTTCAGTGATACCTGCAGTTAAGAAACTTAGCATCAAGTTGAGTAATTCCTAATGAGCTCTCACTGCCACTACGAATTGGCTCACGATGGGTATGGACATGATCTTCATGGCAGGTTTTCCCCTCATCTTTTCCTGCCCGAAACGCTTGGAAATGCACGTCTGTTCTTGTTATTTTATGTACTGGTTTATGTTCCTAATGCCCATGTGGCAAGAAGAACATTTTAGGGCCATTATGAGCCTTTTCAAATGGCAACTGTTCTCAGCCTTTGCTTCCCATTTTATAACACCTGGTAATGGTCGGAATGAGTAACGTGCCACCCATCACACCTCACTGCTTCCATTTCACTGCATAATCTGAGAGGTACGCTCCTTTCTGGCGTGGGAAACATCATGGGTCATACTTTGAACCTAGTGGTTGGTTTTGTTTGTTTGTTTGTTTGTTTAAGTTGCCACCATACACTCCAACTATGGGTTTTGGGAGCCATCGCACAACTCCGAGTATGTGGATTTTCCACATATAGGTAAGATATCTGTGCACAGCCAGAGGAGATGCTTTTTTGGTTGTTTTAGATACAACGACAGAGACAGACAGAAAAAATTTACACTTTGTCTGTTTGCCATTAGGCTTTTCTCTCTTTCTGCCCTGTTTGGCAACTAGACATGTGTGGAATGGTTGCACAAGTGGTACACATAATGCACCAGCTTGCAGATATAAACTGCTCCAAGTTTCTGCCTTCTTGACTCCAGGTGAAATCTCTTTTGGCTTTTCTCATAAAGCTGTTTTTTCCAACCCTACCAAATGATACGGCTTTCCCAAAGAATCCTGAAGGACTCCGATGGGCTGTCATCAGAGAGTCGTCTTCATTCACCGCAGTTCAGTATTGTACACTGAAAGGCGGTCACAGCTACAGCCAGCAAGCACATACAGTATCCCACTTCAAACCCATCTTAAATAATACACCAGTCCAGCTAGGGCAAACGCCCTGAGCAATGGGGGCACCACACCGTGTCATTTCCCGCAGTGGCTTTTTCTCTACAAAGAAAATTTTAAAAGGAAAAAAAAAACCCCAACCCTATCATTTTGCCTTCCTTCAGCTGCATTCTCATCAAATCCTGTCTCTGTAATAACCTCCTTATGTAGCACATCTTAAGAGAGTGCTTTGCAAACGTGTGAGTTTATTGAGAGCCGAAGTCATTTTTCCTCCTGCCAGTCTAGCCAAGATGACTGTATCATTTCACAGATATAGCAGTGAAAAAGAAAAATAAGAGAGAGGAAAGGTTTTACTTACTGTAATCATCTATCTTGATTTCCATGTATTCTACCTTAGGCATTTGCCTGTCATTTACAATCAGCTGCACATTTTCATTTACCTCCAGCTCAAAAATTTCTGAAAGAAGAACAACAAGATTACAAAAGCTTTTGGCATTGTTTGTGAAAAACCATTTTTAACCTTTTATAGCCACCTTAATATTTGTAACACAAGTTTCCTTATAAAAGAATTTCCTTCTAGTCCTCACAGATGTCTAATTCAGTTAAGTCTTTGAACAGGTTCTGCAAAAAGCTATATTCCTGAAATCGGCGACATTCCCCATGCAAATGGGAATGCGACCTTCTGTGTTGAGGCAGTACCATGGGTCCCAGTCAGACTTCTACCTGCCATGCAAAGCTAGATATCAAATGAAGAAGTCCTCAAGTCTGTGCCCAAGTTACACATAATAAATGGGGAAAGGTAGGAGACCATGGAGGGAGTCTCCAGGACAAGGTTGTGCCACTAGACAAGAGAAAATCCATGAGAAGGAAAGCCGTGGGGAGAGAAGAGTGACAAAGGTCATGCAAACCTGCAACGTCAGGTTTTGGGAAAGTCTTGGCTTTCAGAGTGTATTGAGAATTGTTCATTTTGCTTGTGTGTCTTATCCAAGGACCCTCTGGCACTGCAATAGAGGATTCCTTCCTCCTTCCCAGGATTTAACCTTTATACCCCTCATCCTGGCCATGTGCTCCATGCTGAGCCTCTCCTAGAAAAAGTGACCACCTCCAACATCAGAAAGAGCAAGTCCTCCTCAGCGGGTAAGTAAAGGGTCCACCTTTAGGAGACGTTTCAGGTTGTATGCCCTAGGCGGTGGGAAAAGTCTCCTGGTGATGGTGAGGCTCCTGAGCCCCGTGGGGGAGGGATTCAGGGGCCAGGGGATCCCACTGTGGTGGCAGTGAATGCTGGTGTGGGGAGCCTCTTGCAGTGCTCATCCCCGTGGCATCAGGCTGGGTTTGAACCAGGGGGATCCAGGGCGTTACCTCTGCCATGTGAACCCAAGGAGGGTTTGAGGTTTCGCACCAAACTATGTGTTTCATTGACTGTAACTTCCCTTTCAAGACACACCGATAAATAGATGTGTGACCCCATTTCCTCAAATGGTACCCGATTACCACGCTTTCATTGCCCGTCTCTGCTGGATAGGCAGGCACAGCACAAAAACATGCCCTTCCCAGTTAATACATTTCAAAGATATTTCAGCAATAGTATATTGCTTCAGTGACTATTCACCCTGCTTCTGAAAAGCCTGGCTCTTCTCTATTGAAACCACAACCTCCACAAAAGTGCCAAAGCAACAGCCTATTACATTTAGTTAAATATTAAGATTCTCATTTAATTATGGCACACACAAGTAGCTTTATCAGCAGAAAGGGGCTTGCCACGTAGGGGAATTTAGTCAAGCCGTTTTATTTGTTCATATAATTGCATTCACAGAAAGCCAGGAAGACTGTGGAGGAAATAAAAAAGATTGGCATATCTCCTAAAGGACTTTCTTTTCTGCTTTAGGACCACAGGGAGCTTGAGTCTGTGGAGTACAAATGGTCATTGCTTAATTAAATGTAAGCACGGTATAATATTCAGTGCAACTCACTATTATCAGATTATTGCAGAATACAGAGGCAAACTCCCTTTATAGAGTAATGGGCTCATATTAAATAAATAAATTCAGAAACATGCAACTGTCAGTTGCCCTTTATACAAAAGCAAAAGAATAAGGGGAAAAAAGGGAACCAGGGGATATGATAATCACATGCGGAGAATCATGAATTTCAGTAGGGGATGTGTTCTGTGCATGACTAGATTGAGCTCGATGCAATAAATGCTACACATATATATCTGTCAAAATAAAACTAGTCTCTGTCGTTTATGTTACTTTTTCAAGCCCTTCATTTGCTGTTTCTGTTTTATAGTATCTCTCATTTTGTTCACCTAAAAGTATTTTATAAAACTATACGGGAGGCTACAACACAGTTCACGAGAGCACTGTCCTGTACATGCTGTTATAGCCAGTCAGCCATCTCCATGTCTATGGTAAAATTAAGGTATTGTGATTAAGGAGGAAAAAAAAAGAGACACTTTGGAGCTGTAGGTCAGAGCTAAGAAACTCTCTTGGCCCTGTGGCAACATCCTCTGTGGGCTGAAGAGCCTTGCGGGCACCAGGAGCGCTGCCCTGGAGATGCACTGCCAAGGGCAGATCTCTGCTGGGAAGAAGAAGAGCTGATACTCCCTTGTGCAGAGACCGAAGTATGAGTGGTCACCGGTGCAGAAAGGCTGGAGAGCTAGGGACTTGCAATTTGCTTTCAGTATTCCTTAAAAAAAGCAATTCTTGTATTTTTGTAGGCCAGGATAACTACAAATGCCAACTTTTGCTTATTTATAGCAGACGTAGTTTCACAAGGGACCAGACTGGCACATGGAGCTATACCCCTATCCCACTCACAACGGGAACATGAACAAAAAGTGAGAGCCCTCCTTCGGGCAGCAAAATCTGTCAGGTCTCATGGCACATTTACCCAGAAATCATAGACCAGTGGGGAAACTGAGGCACAAGGAAATGAAATATTTATCTCGCAGTCATCCCATAAGCAAGGTGATGGAGATGGTCTAAGCCATGGTACGTTGTGCTGCTTTGCTTTGGCAGCAAAGATCCTTCTTCTGCCCTTACAAGACAGTCAGCACATTGCTTTAGCGTAACTTGTTCCAGGATGCTGCTAACTTTATGCATACCTTTCTCTGCAAAGGAGCTGTTAAATTGGAACAAATTAATTGAAAAAGATGGGAGGAGAAATTATAGTTAAATGTACAATGCATCTCCTTAACGGTATTGAACACTGTTAACACTAGATGGAACACTGCTGAGTATTTCTATTTTAATGGTAAAGTATACAATATGCCACAAATCTGATTCTAAATGTGATTAAAAAAAAAATCAGTCAAAATTTCGGATTTCACTCTGCACATCCTGCTTACAAGCAAAACTTTTCTAGGTGGGGTAAGGGCTTGAAATGGATGTTGCCAACAGAAATTGAGAGAACAGGGAATAAAAAGTCACACACAGAAACTGTATGAAGCAAGATGGATCCTGTGCTTTTTTCTTACATGTCCTGGTGCCACAGGAGTTTTTCCTTTGACATTTACCACCTTCAGTGGGAAATTAAGCAGCTCAGCATTTCACAGAAAACCTGTAGTCTGGGGGCCAAGTTCCCGGGTTTGCTCTGCTCCTTTGCAGATACGACAGCAAGGCGTTGCTGTAAATCCAGTTAAGCTAAACTGATACCTGATAAACTGGCGGCATACAGAGCAGCTAGAATAAAGGTGTTGCTTCTTGTTTGGATCACAGCAATGCCTGAAGTCCCTAACTGCAGGTTAAGCCTGGGCTAACTTCTACATTATAATGACAGATAAGGGTTTCCAATCAAAATGACGGGAGCAGATAAATCTTGCTTTCACATGAGACTCAGTCCCACACCCTGCTACGAAGTCTCCTGAGACTCTTAAAAAGGTGCCTTGGTTTAAGAGACCTTGGTTTAAGACCCCTGTAGAGAAAGGACAGAGAAAGGCTGTCTCTCTGAGGGTCCCTGCCACACTGACTTGGGGTAAAAAACTGAACTTTCTGGATAATTTGTATTGCTACAGGTGTGAAGGAGGAATCCCAGAAATCTCATGGCTCTCTGGGCTCTACAGGGATTCCTAACCAGTCTGGCAATGGCTACAGCCAGTACCAAAGATTTTGAGGGAAAAAACTTGTATTTGGAATAATTCCAGCTTCATATTGGTGTACATCTGCATCACTAGCATTAAAAAAGCTGTACTGAACAAGTAAGTGCTACAATCCCCGTGAACCGATCCGGACGCCAGGCAGAGCTACAACTTGCGGGGCTCATTCCTCTGTGTTGTCTCTTTCAAGCTGGTAATCCATATTAGAGTCATTTTTAAAAAATCATAGATTGAGCTAAATATTTCTTATTTTTGAGTAGGTCGTAAATCAATATTTGTGGAAGACTAACAAAAAGAGCGGCAGAGATCTGAACAGTGCATTTTTTGAAGAAAGTTGATAACAATTGTCATGCCCAAACCACTGTTTTCACACCCCAAGATACACTCCCTACTAGTGTAAGTAAGTTTACTAAAAAGCAGGTACATCTCAGTGTCCTGCCTGACTACTTTGAAGAATTGCAAGGCTCAAGCCCATTCTTACTCTGTGCATCGGTTGTGTTGTGAACAGTCACCATCGGGACTCGGGGACCTTGAAAAGAAGAAGAAAAAAACTCAGTTAAATATCTATTGAAGAACACACAGACACACATGAATCTGGTTTTGAATTCCACAGAGCCGAAGACTCCTGAGACTCGCTTTCCATGCAAGAGTAATCTAAAAAGCAAATCACCCTGGTATTAGAAAGTGTCTGTGAATAAATGACAGTACTGTAGACTCGAAGACATGCGAGGTTTCAAAGCCCTCTCCCAACGGACCACTAAATGCATCTTTACCTAATTTCTTTCCCTAATTTGTAAACATTATAATTAGCACAAACACAATTAAATCACTTGCTTTAAATTATTCTAATGACACCCAAACATCAAGCATTTACATTTTATGTGCGATGGATAACTGTTGCTGTTTTGCAAATGTTATCGTTTTAGGGTTTTTTAAAATGAATTAAACACTAGTTTGGCTCTTACACTAAAAAAGACCACATATGGTATCTTAAAATGCCACATTTGGGTACCGAAATCAGCTAATACTACAGAAAGAGTACGATCATTACTATGCAATGCACATGAGTGAACCACAGAATTCATTGCCATAAGATGCTACCGTCTTTAGGATGCTGTAGGCTTTACCACAGGATGCTCTGGTCTTCAGCACAGGGTGCTGTAGGATGCTGTAGTCGTTAGCACAGCGCTCTGGGTGGAATTTCTTGTTCAGAAAGTCACCAAGTGGCTGACCGATAGAAAAATGGGATGGTACATGAGATTAGGTTCATTTTGTAGCTGTCAGCTTCTATCTTTCTGCTTTTCAGTTGTCATCTGCTTACTGCTCTTGGAGACAGGGCGCTGGGCCAAAAGGAGCTTCTGTCTGACGCAGCACAGCCGCTACTACGGTTACTACCATGCTTGTTTGTAGCTTTTCCAATGAGTTTGACAGTACTGCTCGGGAAGGTGGAAGCAGCACTACCATGATGAAATGACAGCGGTTACCTTACTGCCCTTCCCTTTCCCTAGACTGTAATATGATGCAGCAGCAAGTGTGAGCAGCTGAGGAAAGATCACCCATACACCCGGCAAAGATCCAAAACAGCAGGGCCAGAGGGCTCCCATGCCATGTGTGGGTGAAGATCACAGATCGTAGAATCATAGACTCATAGAATAATTTAGGTTGGAAAAGACCCTTGAGGTCACTGAGACCAACCATAAACTTAACACTGCCAAGTCCACCCCTAAACCATGTCCCTAAGCACCACATCTACACACCTTTTAAATGCCTCCAGGGATGGTGACTCAACCACTTCCCTGGGCAGCCTGTTCCAGTGCTTGACAAGCCTTTTGGTGAAGAAATTTTTCCTAATATCCAATCTAAACCTCCCCTGACGCAACCTGAGGTCATTTTTTCTTGTCATATCACTTGTTACTTGGGAAAAGAGACCAACACCCACCTCGCCACAACCCCCTTTCAGGTAGTTGTAGAGAGCGATAAGGTCTCCCCTCAGCCTCCTCTTCTCCAGACTGAACAACCCCAGTTCCCTCAGCCGCTCCTCATAAGACTTGTGCTCCAGACCCCTCACCAGCTTCGTTGCCCTTCTCTGGACACGCTCCAGCACCTCAACGTCCTTCTTGTAGTGAGAGGCTCAACACAGTATTTGAGGTGCGGTCTCACCAGTCTTCATGGCAGGACTTGTCTTTTCTATATACTGTATTTCCAGTTCAAACTTACTGTGTGTTGAGGGTGGGGATGGCAAAATTTGGAACCATCTGTACAAATGATCCGTGGAGGAAAGGAAACCGTGTTTCCTACTTTCTTGGGCTTCGACAGTCTGGTGGCACGCTGCTGGCATGCAGGGCAAACCCACAGTTGAACTACATTGAATATCAAAAAAAGCAACATTTCTTAAGCTTCAAAATTAAGACAGCTTAAAGAGGCTTGATATTCACTGAGTTTCAAGGCCCTTTATCTTAAAGTCTTGAGTCCTTCAACCTACAAGCAAATCCTGTGTTCTCACCAGTCATGTGCACCAGCAATTTGTGTAGAGGTGGCTGAGAAAAAGCCCCTGAAATGCTGCAGCTGAGAGTGTGCACACGGCTGGCAACAAATATGGGTTACTGTGAGCCACCCATACTGGGTCAGTAAGTGAAATAATAAGTTCTTGAGAGCAAGAAACACTTTAGGGTGGTATAACTGTATCAATGGTTTTCCCTGTGCTGTCAAGAAACCAGATCCTATTGCACACAATCAGGAGTGTTACATGTAGACCTTGCCTAAACAGAGAAGAGGCAGAAAAAGATTTTATTTATAATCAATCTGACTGATATGGCAGCCTGACTTTTGTTTCCTAATAATTGAGAATTTTCTTCAGTAACAATCCGATTCCCTTGCACCTTTTTCTTTGAATGCAGCTAAGTAAGTATAATGCACAGAGGAAAACCCTGTTTTACTCACCAGGATTTATCTGAATTTACCTTTCTACTACCAATATACATTGATATGCTGACCATATTTATTTATAAATCTGCCACGCTTTTCCCCTGCAGTCCCAGAAGCCAGTCCACTGGAAAAGCAACAAACCTAATAAACAATTCATCACGGGCATGATAAAATCATCACCGCAAATAAAAGGAATCCTCCCAAATGACTTCAGTGAGAGCCAGAGTGGTCCTTTAATTAACACGAAAATGCCTAACAAAAAGAAAAGGATAAAGAGAGAAATACAATGCATATAGCCCTTTTACTTTCTAATTTATTTTTCCTTTTTGTGTTTTGCACTGGAAAACCAGCAAGAAACTAATAAATAAAGAAAAAAGACAGTATGTAGTTTCAAAAATTCTATATATTATATATCGTGTTTCCTTATTCTCTCACTACCTTACTGTCATCTCCCCAAATCAATATTTTAAAATGACGTCCTATACAAATACATTCAGTCTGAGGTCATATCAAATAAAAATATTTTAAAATATGCATCAGTATCCTTGAAAAAGTAGACTTTTGAGTTTCTCAATTTTTATTTTTCAACAAACGAGGAAAAATGCAAAAGACAGAAATCTACGGAGTAGAATCATCAGGTTTGTGCGAAAGATTACTCTCGATATTAAATATCCCCCATGATGACATTCCATTTAACAATGCATTTCACTTGTGAGCCGTCCAAAAGTCATTACGAAAAAAAGCCACTTTTTTAAGGAGTTATGTAAATTGCTTTTTTCAATGCCAACTTTTAAAGTAAAGCAGCCTAGCTACATGCTAGACTATGTCTTTTAACACACGCACATGCAAAGCCTTTCAACACTCACAAGTCGAGTGCCTAACTGGAAGGGGCAGAAGTTCTCGGAATTAGGAAGCGGGTACGCATCAGCCGCCCCCCGTACTCTATTTTTAACCTGCAGCGGTGTGACAGTCCCCTTACACGTGCCGTCTGGGAAACGCCACCCGCTGCCATTTGCAGGTCCGGGAGCGAAACCCGTTTCGGGGGACGAGCTGCCGGCG